AAACCCCCCCCCCTCAATTTTCAAATGTAATTTTTTTTTTTTGGATAGGGTGATAGTGGCCGACGTGCGCAGGTGGCGTGCGCACGCCGTTTTTCCGCCCGCGGCCGCGTGCCTTTGCCTGGTCTGGCGCGGCCGTGCGCAAACTCGGCCATGCGGCCTCGGCGGTGGCCGCAACCGAGGGGGACACATAGGACGGAGGGGACGAAGGGAAGGAAGGGGAAGAATGGGAGGAAGGTGAAGATAAGGAGTTGACAAAATTGCTTGAAGGGGAAGAGGGTGACAAAGGGGATGTGGATAATGAAGACGAGAAAGGGGAGGACAGTGAGGACGATGCCGACTCTGAAGAGTCCTCTGACGAGTTCAGGTGATTGTACGGACAACATCGTGGGCATAATGTTGATGACGATGCAACGGCAATGGAGATGGAGACGCAAGTGGTTCATGACCTTTCCGCAAAGCATGAAAACTATGAAGTTCAACCGCTGACGCCTGCAATCAAACTCCAACACCATATGAACCTGACTAAACTGAGTAGCCGTATAACCATCGACGAAGTTACGATAGCATCCGTCTGCAATCAAACTCCAACACGGCGCCCAGCAGGTGTCCACACATCCGTCTGCCGCATCAAACGTCGAGGACCTTGGCGACGTCACACCTTCGGTGTCTGCTGCTCTTGCTTTCTCGCTTCCAAGCTCTCCGATAATGGCAGACACCTTCGCCAGTAGTAGGGAGGATGAAGACGGGGGACGACAACATGTCACGTCCCCGAAACAATGTAGGCACGACACTCCGTTTGTCGCGGTGCTGGGCTTGCCCGCACCAATGTCACCGACGAAGGAGCGGAAGGACAGACGGGCTGGTAAGCGATGAAGAACGTTACTATCTTCTGCACACCCGTGTTTCTGAACGCGAGAAGGCGGCTTCCGTCGGAGTCCGGATTTCGACGGACTTCAATCCACACCATACACACAAGGAGTGACCATAGTGTCCCTTAGTATAAGGAAGTGCGGATGCCGACAGACTAGAGTTATCAGTCCTTCCAACTACATGAGATCAGTCCTCCTGTGAGTCGGCCAAGTTGTCTACTCAGGGTCAGCGCCCACTGTTAAAAAGGGGGAAATTCAATAAAAACATAACACACCATCAATGGAAGGATTTTTCCTTGAATGAAGTGTGTTTTTATTGTTGCCCCCTCAGAATAGCCATCCTCGGCTAAGAACGTGGCTGCCTCGAAGGAGGGGTGATTTTCTCTTATCAGAAGGATTGGTGGTTTTAGTCCATCGGAATCCGCACTTCCTGTGTCGATGCGTAATGCGGCCAGTCTCTGTTTGCTTGCTGTAGATAAAAGTCTGCCGAAATTCAGACTTCGGCGAGTGCACCCTTTCGCTTTTGTAGCTTGTTGTAGTTTTCCTTTGTCCAGGGCAGGGTTTATCAAGCTCGAATGCACTCTTCGCTTTGTTTTCCAGCCGCAAACAAGCTGTCGGGCGCATCGGTTCGGCACCGCACGAGGCAGCGCGGGACCCTCCCGGCCGCGTCACGCAGGAGTTGGTTTGAATCCTTCGCCGCAAATATACATGGAGCTTCCGCAAGCAGCTCCGACCGAGTGCGCCAGCCATACCTCCCACGAGCCCCTACGACAAGATAGGGCCTACGCGAGGCATGACTTACCTCCACCTTACGGGAGTTGTCACCTCCCTTCGGTGGGTGTATCCCCGCCGAGCTACCAGTCCACAGTACGAAGGCTAATCAGCTGCAAATTGCAATCGCAGAGGTGGACCAGCCGAGGGCGTTTCTCGTTCGCTGTAGCATAGGGGGTACGCGCGGTAATACGCCTCTGTCGGACCCGCACGCGAACCGACATCCTGGGGGGGCTGAGGTCCCAAGCGCGACTCGTCGTCGGTCGACTAGGACGTATCTCACTCACCACGCATACACCACTCCACAAACACAAAAATAAAACACACACACGCACCCACATCGAACAACGCGACAACACTCCTAGCCCCTTCAGTAGCCATCCCATAACTTTCCGATGCGGAAATCGAATAGGCGTTACGCGCGAGACTTAGTATAAAACCGCGCGGACTCAAGGCTAACTCATATCGACTCTCAATGCAAGCGTACGCAGGCAGTCACAATGATGACGTACTATGTAGTCGCAATGCAAGCCTCGAGGGTCACCTTCGATACTCAAGTGTCGGCTGACACGCACTTTGAGGGTTAATCTCTCGACGCTGGACAACCGCCATGCGCGGTTGAAGGCCACACACCCTCTTCTGCACCCTGTGCAGAGCGGGTGGTACACAGGTCCGTACCTGTGGTGGCAGTCGTTCCTTACTGTCCTGGAGATGAGCCCCACTCCAGGCCCAAAAATAAGTCAAGGGGTTTGACTTTGACGGCTGCCATGGGCTACGACGTCCAACTATAAAAATCTAAAAAGCAAAAAATAAAAGTGAGTCTCCCTTTTCTCTCAAGTCATAATCTGGTTAACCCTTGCGCACGATCGCAGTAAGCCGCGCGCATACCCAAAACACATATAAATATATACTCAAGGCTTATTTATATAGGACAATCACTTCTCACTGTCACAGTGGGGCTCCTCTCAGCCATATATGTATGTAATCGCAGGCAGTCACATCCAGAGTCCCAACCACAAACATACTTGCAATCACATCAAAGATTCAACAAGGTCAACGCACTACACAGGGTCAATTTCAACCATTCTCTATGCTCATACCCCTTGCTTTAGCCATACAAACCTCACTGGCTCACTCTTGTGCAACTCCCCAAAATAAATACTCAGTACTTTTGTTAAATGACCATTCAATAAAGTCCGGGTGAAAACACAATGAAACAATTCAAACCACAGGGCTAAAGCCTTCAGGTTGAGTGGCAAGAGTGGATTGGAGTTTAATCGTAAGCCGACGAATCGGCAACCGACATGTTATCAGTGATAACAGAAGATGACCCTTGTAGGATCAAGCTGAAACTAGTCCAAATCCTGAATCAAACAGTCAAGATGACCTGTAACACAAGGCAGGTCAACCCCCAGGCTAAACCTATAAGTCCTTGGAGAATAGTTCCCATCTCACGATCTCACTCAAATCATCATAACTGACTGAGCCTGAATCTACCTTTAAGCAGTGGTCAAAGCAAAGGTAGACCCTGACATGATCTCCCCTATACAGAGTGGATCGCTAGAATCGTCACCTGTCAAAAAATAGTCTAACTACTTTAAACTCAGGAAATTTCGGCAGTGCTTTCCGTAGGGAAGGTGTCTTTTCAGAAGTTATATCAGCCCGAATATGAAAACAAAAATAGCTTTTAACTTTCCAAAGTCAAATTTTGTCTAACTCCCTGAATTAGTAAAAAATTTGGCAGCACTCCCTTTAGAAAAGGAGACTTTCCAGATTTTTACTAAGCCATATATGAACTTTAGACAAGTCGAACTTTGAAAAGTCTAAAAGTTGACTAACTCCTTGGATTTGCAGAAATTTCGGCAGCGCTTCCCGTAAAGAAAGTAGCTTACCAAATTTTATACAAAGCCAAGTATAACAAAAGATCCCAGAAAATGCGAGAATTGATCTAAGTAAAAAAACGTAGCTAAGAAAATG